TACCTGACTTAATTCCTCTTTAAGACAGTATATTTCTTGCTGTAAAGCGTTTCTCTGGTCCACTCTTAGCTCAACCTCTGCTTCAAGTTTGCGTATTATTTCCTTTAGGCTTGAGACATCCTCTTGTAAACTTTTAATTGATGCAACTGAAGAGAGATTGAGCTCACTGAGACCTTTTTTCTCGACCTTTGCTTGCTCAATTACCTCATGCAACTCACTGTTTCGGATCTCCATGTCTTTCATGATCTGAGACCTGGTTTGAAGTTCCACGGCCAAATTATTGAGCTCCTCTTGAGACTGAGAGTGCAACTGCTGTAGGGTTCGAAAGGCGGTCTCAGCTTCTTGGAAACGCAAATGCTCTTCTTGTACACAACTCCACAATTTCACCAGCTCTGTTTGCTTCTCGGTGAGCTTCTCACTTTGATTCCCTAGTTTCTCCAAGAGACCATCCAGCTCAGAGTGGAGATTCTGATTTGATCTCTCAAGCACAATACATTTCTCCTCAGAAAACTTTAACTTAGCAACTCCATCCTCTATCTCATGGCTAAGACTTTGTGTTTCTTCTTGAGCATGGTGTAGTTTGACTTTTAGATCCGCAATTATATTCAGGCACTGTTGGAACTGAAGTTCAGAAGCTTCCTTATCCTTGATCATTTCCGAGATTGTTTCCTTCAAGTTTTCAACTTCTACCCCAGCCTTTTCAGCCCGCACATTGATAAGCCTTGTATCTTCCTCAGCCTTCCTCAGTCTCTCTTCTAGGTGAGATATCTTATTCAAGCATTGCCTGTATTGACCAAGAGCAGCTTCCTTGTCAGTTTCGGCTTTAGCAAGGCTCTGCTTCAAAGCGAGAGTTTCAGCTTCAGCTTTGATGGCTCGCTCATTTATTCCTCCAGCTTCCTTATGGGCTACAGAGAGTCCATCTTCCAAATCAGCTATCTTTTGCAGGCATTTTTCATACCGAATACGGCTGGATTCCTTTTCAGACTCCAGTTTGTAGAGGGTTTCTTTGAGCGTTTGGATCTCAGCTTCGGAACTTGCGGCTCTGTCACTAAGTCCCCTTGAGTCTTCTTGTGCACGAGATACTTCAGATTCTAGATTAGACAGTCTCTCCAAATTCTTCTCAAACTGTGCTAGGCTAGCTTCTTTTTCAGCCTGCATTTTAGAAAGGGAGTCTTTTAAAGCAACAACTTCAGCCTCAGCTTTGCTAGCTCGTTCAGATTCTGAAGGAATTTGGGCCTTGAGACCATTTCTTCCTTTTCCATCCACATCATTAAAATTCAGTCCCTTTCTTGCTTTCCCACTACTCACAAACGGAGCTTCGTCGCTAAAATCTATATTCCTCTTCACATCATGGACATGAGATAAAGAAAACCACGAATCATCTTTTTGCAACCCATCTGGGTTAACCCGAGCTCGGATAAGAGGAAGCATCTCCGGTGTCTGGGGATCAACATCATTAGACTCATCGCCAAATATCAACGGAACTTCGTTATGCAAAACTTCAGCTATAGTCTTATGAGCCTTATGTAGTACCCCAGTTGCATGATTATATCTTTCAGCTAATGCGCGATATGCACGGTAGAACTCTTCAACCAATTTCATAAGCTCAGGACGTTTACGGTAATACATCTCTGCTCGTCTGGCAAAGGAATCAGCATCTTCTTCAAGAACCTTGATCATTTGCTTCACATTGTTATCCATATCTGTCAAACGAATAAGCAAAACACTTTTTATTTATATTAAAGAGTCAAAGATAGTGATTAAAAAAAAAACCCATTAGCTAATGAACAAAACACAAGTTAGAAGCAGAGAAATCACATAAAGAACATTGCAATGAAGATAAAGTAGAAGTAGCTAGCCATAACAAAAAATACAGAACATACCAGCAAGATTGTCCTGAAGCCATTTAGAATTCTTAGGAGTATTGTGACTATCCCACCACCATGAATACATACGTTTCGAATTACTCTTTGCCGCAATCTCCATATTGACGACAACAAAGGATGTTTACACCAAGCTTCTTCTTCGTATCTCAAGCTCTCACAACCTATCTAACAAATTACCTGATAAAAAAAAACAATTGAAAAATAATACAAAGGAAAAAAACAATTAGAGAAAAGGCCAAAAAGAAAGAGTAAACAAATGAACAAGTCTTCCAAAACCAGAATCAGAGAGAATAGCCAAACTAAAGCAACCTAATTTTCGAATGAGTATACAACACGTTGTACAGACGACTGTGATTTTCTATAATAAGGTTACCACCACAGAGGCGATCTCATGCTCTTAAAAACCCAGAAGAACAAAACAAAAATCAGAGGATCACAGTGTAAGATGTCGAATACAGTTCATAATAGTAAATCTAAATTATGATCCGAGAGCTCAAAAATCACAATCCCACAATTGTCAAACGAATCTGAAAGCAATGAAGTCGAGTTCTTACCGAAAACAAAAATAAATCGAATTGCACTTGATAATCGAAGAATCCTTGAAACAATCAGACACCTAATATTTTATTACGCGCTTCATCATCCTTCATCGCATATCTCAGCCCACCTTCTTCATCTTCTAGATCTCTCTCTCTCTCTCTAATCTATCTCTTGGTGGCTAAGCTCTCTGTTTCTGCTTTTTACGTTGTGAAGAGCTTTGCTTAGGTTATGGTGTGTGTGTGTGGGGCTTAGAGAGAGAGAGAGGAAAAGAGAGATTAAAAGGGGTGAGAAAATGACGCATCTACCCTTGAAAACGAGATTCTAAAATGTTTTTTCTCCTTCTCGGGATTGCTTTGGGATATTTTGACTTCTTAAAATTAATGTAAATTAACAATACTTTAAGAGAGAAACAGAAAAAATCAATGTAAATTACGCCATAAATTAAGCCGGTGATATTATTATTATTTTTCTTGCTTTTTAACACAAATCAATGCCAGCAATAGGATAGGTCCATACTAGATTTTATTATAACTCTTTCTATAAATCATGTAAATTTATATCTTACATGAGTGGTAAAAAAATTTAATCCCTATATGATAATTTTCGAATAGATTTACATTAAAAAAATCATTTTATACCATTAGCAAACAATTTATATACATACTATATAATACCTGGTTTAAATTGAGTGAATCAAACTCTATAATTTGAAGTTGAATCTCTTGAGAAAATATAGTACAATTAATGATACTAAATGACTAGTAATATATTGTTTCAATATTTAATTATTGCTAGTTTACTTTTTATATTTATAATATATTAACAAGAGAGAGAGAGAGAGAGAATCTTTGGAGAGAGAGAGAGAGAATCAGAAAAAGGAAAAAAGCAGAGAGACGCGTATATTTTAGAGCTGAACTTTTGGGTCCCGCTCGTACTTCACCCAATCAGATTCGTCCACGTAGCACTTCTCACCCCATGCGCATCAAAATACGTTGTATATTCTACATAGACAGTATGTGATATAAGTAAGTTCTTGTATATCTTATTTTGTTTTACCAAAAAAAAAAAAATTTGAGTTGGTAACTTGGGTGATGAATATAATTAAGTTTTTTTAACAAAATTTAATGGAAAACAAAATTTTGTAAAATAGATAAAGATAATTAATTAGGGATATTTGTTGGGAAATAAAAGAAATACTAGTATTTTTGTAATCAGTGGACTCCTCCTATATATATAGATAAGTGTTATATTGACTTTTCACATAAATTAATATTTTCTAATACTTTTTAAAATTTAAATTGAGTATTCATATTTTTTTAATGGATATGAGGTTAAATATAAAATTTATACTAAAATTTACATTAAAACTATAAAACGTCACATAATAAAAAACATATATTAAAAAGTATTAGAATGATATATTTTGTTGTGAAACAAATAGAGTATATATAAGATAAATTAGTGGTGAAACCTTTATTTTACATATCAATAATTGGATGATATAGCATAGAGTAGAGCTCAAAACTTTGTAATCGGGTTTGCACATGTTATCAACTAAGCTTTGATTCATCTTCTCGGAATGAAAAGTGACACACAGTATTTTATATTATTAACTTTAAAGAAACTCTTTAGATTATTAATAAAATCATTCTTTTGGGAAATTTCATTTGTATAATATATTGACATTTTTGAGTATGAAAACAAGAGAAAAATTTGCCGTTGGAGATATATATAAACAAAACTGTCGGTATCCCATCGATATGATGTTTTGTGTATACTTATAAAAGAAAATACAAACAGAAAAAGATGCCACCAAAGTTTTTCTTTTCATTGTTTGTTGTTGTTTGGGCCCAATGGTAATGATGAACCATCATGGAAACTCTCTCATACATTTACAACTCTTTTCAATAATGATCTAAAAATATTCATCTTCCTCAACAACCTGTCTCTCTATACTACTTACTTGGTCCCAAACGTCTATTTCTTTTATTTTCCTTCGAAATTGTCTCAAATAGTAAGCTAACTATAGTAGCCCCTGCCTACCACCATCATCAAAGTATTGATTTTTTGTCTTTTTTTCTTAATGTTTAGAGGAACATAATTAAACAGGGATATCGTTTTCACGAGACGACGATGATGTATGATGTTAGTAATAGTGACTAGTTGTGTGTTGTGATACGACGTCCATCTAAATAAAGCCTTACTAACTAAGTATATGTAGTCTAATGGGCCCTTAACGGGACCATTTTTGCTTAATGCTCCAGCTCCATACTTTGGTTATTAAGTCAATACTATATTTTTCGGGAACGTCTGAGAGATATTTTGATCAGTTTTTTACTTTTTTTCTTTTTCTTTTCAATTTGAAATTCAGGTTTTTGGATGTTGATAAAAAACCAATCGATATTTTTATATGCCTGACTCGTAAACATCGATTTTAAACAGCAAACACCTGACAAAAATATTGTTTTAAATATTCTAATATTTGCATTGCATGCGTCTCTTTTTGAGTTTCAGATATGGTGTTATACCTTTGACCAAATCTCATTATGCAATAAAGAAACAATATATTAGGCATAGGAGAAGAGAATGATTTTGGGAACAAGGGGATACATTTCCTTCAGCATTAAAAAAAACTCAAAAACAAAGATAGCAAAACGTCTCTACAACACTTGTCGCAAACTAGAATAACACGAGAAAAAACATACGTTTCTGGAAACCTTCACACAACATAGACAAGTTACATGTCTCCCTTATCTAACAAAACAATTTTAAAGATAGTAGAGAGACAAAGAAACTAATAAGCAGCAACGAATGCAGAGCAGCAGCTTCTCCAGGTCCCTGTTACAAAAGTATATAACAAAAGCTTTTATAAATTACACATTCAGATTCTTTAATTGGAAGAGTTTAAAGGTTAGCTTCAGACTTTACCTGGTGAGCAGATTAGGCAGGATCACGAAACTCCCAAAAGAGAGACAAAGGTGTTCTAGGTAAGAACCTAAGGAATGACTTTTCTTCATAAGAAATGGATTTAAGGTGAGACTGAAAATGGCTTGAATCTTGATGAATCTTTTACCAGCAGAGAGAGAGTCTAAGAGGGTCAGTAAAACTTGCTCTTCCCTTTTTCCTTTTCAAAAAAGCAGGAACAAGGCGAAGAGGAAGATCACTTAGCAGGAGAGTAGTTAGATTTACATCTTGTAAGGCTGGATCGAAATGAATCTAGAAGGAAGAGAAGTAGACTTAAAAAGAGAGCTAGAAAGAAAAAAAGATATGGACAGAGAGGGAGATACAAGACTAAGACACCATAAAACTAAGAACTTGAAAAGACGAAACTTGGAAGAATGACAAACAGAAACCCAGTATGATCAAAGGCTCTACTGCATATACAGGCTAGCTAGTTGCTATCTAACCCACTTAAGAAAAGAAGCCAAAGGGAAAAAGACGACTCTAAGAAGAAACTATACAAAGGGCAGAGAGGAAACACTAATGTTCAAGCATCACCACATGAACTTAGCATTCACCCAGGGTATATGTTAGAGACTGGTAATTTTTTGGCCATCCTATATGCTACACCAAGAATGAAGTCTTCTCTTTTACGCGATATCAATCTGCTTCCTGAATGTTTCTACCCACTATAGCAAGCTGTTCCACCATTAATAACACCCCAATCTGCATAGGAGATCCAGTAATTGCTGAGCAACTCTGAGTCATGACTGCTTACGTGTTCCCTTACCATCGCTATTGAAAGCTAAGAAACAAACTTAACCCAGCATGGTGACTAACACCTTATTTATATGTGCATAAAACTAAAACTAACCCCGTTCCCCTAAAGTCTCCTGATCTTCATTCATCTGCAGTCTCAAGCTCAAGATTGAGCATGCGACGAAGTGTCATAGTGGCAGAGACAGTACTACGAAAAGGGTTGTCACCAGATGAGGTTGGAGAAACAGGCGCAGACTTAGCAACTTCACGAATACCAAGAGCAGAGTCAGAAGCAGGGAAGGTCAAAGATACCGTGCTCTTTTGGTGGAGAGAGAACTTAGGAATGGGCACAGAAGCAGGCGGGGGCGAGTTGGAGTAAGTAGGTCCAGCCCAAAGCTCAGAGTAAGAAAGGCTTCTCCTTTTGTCAACAAATTCACTAGCACACCTACGGATCTGAGGACCTCTGGTGTTAGCAATTGGAATAGGACTGGTTCTACCGCTGTCAACCGAAGGATGATTAAAAACCGGCAAAACAGACTTGGGAGAACGAGGAGACTGAACTTGAGGAAGAGCTCCTTTAGTTATCGGTGTAGAGGAAGTTCTCTTTGGTCTTGGGAGTAAACCCACTCCAGATTGAAAAGTTCTGCAATTGATTTGCCTGAAAGTTTTGGAAGGAGCTGATCTAAAACGATCATGACCAAGAGATTTCTTTCCATAATATTGATCCCTATGTTCCACAGCTACAATAAGCGTTTCCATTTCGAGATAGATCACACTGTCAAAAGTAAGAAGCTTTGGCTACAACAACAAGTATCACGCAAGAACACTTGAGTAATCTATCTGATCAAAAACCAAAATCCTTCACTCCTTTCTCAATCGAAGCTCGATTCAAAGGCAACACAAACCAGAAAACCCTTATTGATAACCCAGAAAGCTTCTACGACGATCACAAAATCGGAAACCCAGCTCGTCTCGAAAAGCTGAAAAAAACACAATTTCAAGGCATACAAAGGAGGGAAACCAAAGTAAAACATCACATACAAAGAAACAAAGCGAAATCACAAGATCACATCCTGAAAAAAAGACAGCTTCCATAGAAAAATTCACCTTAAAAAAGAGGTCCTTTTGATGAAGAATATGAAAAGACGAATCGCTTCAGATCACACAGAGAAAGAGAGTGAGCTATAGAGAGAAGATTGTGTTTCTTCACTAGCGAATCAATGGTTGTGTTAGAGAGTATCTATTAGGGTTTTTAAGCCTCCATGGAAACGAAGATCCTACGGATCTGAGAAATGAGGTTAATCGAGAAGAAGGAGAGAGAGAGAGAGAAGGAGAACAGAGCAGTTGTCTATTAAAGTAGTAGGCAGGCACAGTTACTTCATGATTCTGCTCAATGAAATTACACTAATACCCTTCGCTTTATCCATTGATCTTTTTTTCCTTTTCGTCATTTTTAGTCGAGCAGAGTAATTAAAATTATTGACTATTTTATAAACAAAGTATGTTTCAAATTTAATTAGTGTATTAAAAGCATTTGGGTCAAACTTAAGCGTCTTTGCTAATTAATTTTCATTATTCATGCATGAGAAGAGAACCTCTTACGTCACTTTCTTTTTGAATAATTTTCATGTCCGTTGTGAAATTGTTTTCTTAAATTTTAATTTTTAGAAAATAATACTCATTTAATTTCTAAAGTAACCAAGATCATCAATTTGCTTCTTCAAATGATTTATAAAGAAGTTTAGAAAACGAGTAGTTATCAGAGATTATGGACCAGGACAGGTACACACTTGGTAGGGTCTTCTTGCTTCTAATGAGATATATTATTGCACTTATTGAGAAAAGATTGAGACACATTGTATACTTCCACAAAAGTGGAATCATTATAAGGCTATAATTGAAACACCCTTACAGATAATTTTACTCAGCTATGTATATGAATTATGAATATGATCTGCCTGCAAATTCCGAAATTATTGCACTTCACAATTATAGAGAGATACCACAATATAGAATAATGATGACAATAATGGTGACGATGAATATAACAACATTATGATGATGATGATATACGTATGATAGCTTAAAAGGCTCTCGATCATACGAACTTAAAATTGCCAAGATTGCATTTATGATCGAAATTATAAACTTTTTTTTTACTAGTGCCGTAAACTTTTGTTTCTTAATCTCTCGTTGTTTTATTTTAATTGAAAGAAACAAAATAATTAAACCTTTTTAGAAAACTGTTTTCATTCAACGACTAAATTTTACGAGGCTTTCGAATTCCCCACACTCTTAAATCTTTTAAATGCAAGTAACGTTCATGTTTTGGGTTTTTAAAGCTCTTCAAAATCATTAATTTAATATTCAATGTATATATATTGAGTAAACCGATCTAAACAATTTGTTTGACTTTTTTCTTTTCTTTGCTAGGCATGACTGGTTTAATGGGTATTTAAATGGGTCTTGAAGTTAATCTCGGGCAGGCCCTGTAAGGGAGGTGAGGCCCAATCTTAAGACGATTATATACACTATTAGCTTTGTTTTGTTCCCATCCCTAAACTGAATCAATGAATAAAGTCTAAAGAAGTTAAGATCCCTTAATTTGAAAGTCGATATTAACTTATTGGGCTGGGCCTTAAAATTTCTGCCCATTTAGACATGTACTAGAAATCTTTAGGTGTTTGGAGGAGTTTCTTCTCCACATGCTTCGCCGATGAAAATTGGCAATGTCTAGAAATTTCGAGATTTATTGATTCTACCGTGGATATTGGGATTGACACTGGTTTAAGGTTTTTGCGGTGATGTGAGAGTTACATTATTTACGTTACTTAGGAGAGACCACAATTTTATTCATCCAAAATCCAAATAATAACAGCAGCGAGACTACGATTTACCAAGTTTTTGGCGAATCAAAAGTATTGTTCATCTGATATGACCAGAATCGGGGATCGAGCATATCCTGCAGAATTATATCTAATCATGGAACCCAACCCTAAGGCACAAATGATATGGAATCAAGTGCAATGATATGAATACAGAGGCACAAACGCATAATCTGTGAATCTTCATTCCATAATACAGAGTTAAATAATTGATTGTTCTTCAGTCTTAATTAGAGCTAAGTGAATGCCCTGGCAAAAATTCAATCATCGACCTAAGGCAAATGCATAAGAACATTTGCATATCCTTTAAGTCAGAACCTTTCATCTTTAACACAAAACGCGCAGATTAAAGCATAAACTATGAAGCTCATTAACGGCCAAGTAGCAAACAACAGTATATATGTTGCAAATAAGGAACAGTCTACAAGATAAAGCATAAGATGAGTACCCACACAAGCAGAAGCAGGAAGCAAAGCAAAATCATTCATCAGCTCCATCAGTCTTCGTAGCACCAAAAGGGTCATGATTAGGCCCTAACTCTTCTCCCATATGGCGCTGCACAAGCCGCTGCAAATCAGTCATAACCTTCGCCTCTCGCTTGGCCTTCTCCTCATAGTTAAACATAGCCAATGCCCGTTTGTCTTCAGCACTGTAAACCTGGTTTTCCTTTCTAATACGGATAGCATTCATCCTTTGATGTCTACTTCCACTCATCACATAACCAAGATCCTCAAACTTCTGAATCTCTTCAGCGTTAAGACCCACTTCTCCTCTACGTGGGATACGTTTACCTTGCTGAACATACTGTGCTATAGCATCTCCTTCACCAGGTCTTAAAGCACCACCATAACTGATGTGTCCTTCAGCTTTAGGTAATGGCATTGGACCAACATCAGCTTCTTCCTCTTCATCAGGAGCTGAAGATTTCTTCTTCAATTCAATCATCTCTTTGAACTTCTTCAACTCCTCTTCATCAAGTTCTACTTCAGTATTCTTCACTGTTTCTTCTACTTGCATCTTCGAATCATCCTCAGTACCATCGCTTTCAGTCTCTGACTTCGTTTTCTTTCCCTTGCTTCGTTTCGAACTAGAAGATTTCTTCCTCCTCTTGCTCTTTGACTTGGTATCTTCTTCCCCAGAAGACGAAGCACTAATCTCAGATTCCTCCGCTTTACTGTCTTCATCGCTGCTCTCATCAGAGTCACTGTATCTCCTCTTTCTCCTATGACTTCGCTTTTTCCTACTACTACGACTGCTTTTACTTTTCTTCTTCTTAGAACTCTTCCTCCTTCGTCTCCTATCTTCCTCTTCCGAATCACTCTCACTCACTTCAGATTCACTTTCACTATCATACGATCTCCTTCGCCTGCGCTTAGACCTCGAGCTCTTCCCTTTCCGCTTCCTAGATCTCAAACCATCAGACTCAGATTCCGAATCTGACTTCCCAGAATCAGATTCAGAACCCGATTTACCTTTCTTATCTTTTCCTTTCGAATTTTCATCCTTTTCGCCGCCGTTCCTATCCAGAATCTCGTCGGCGTTCTCATCGGAGTCCTCGTTCGGATCTCTAGGTGGACTCGGTGTGTTCTCCCAAAAGCAGAACTTCGCTGATTTCCTCAACTTAAGCCGCTTATGCCTCCTATACTCCTCGTGACTCAGTCCTTTCATTTCTTCATCGGATTCTGAATCAGATCTCCTTCCGTTTCGATAATCTCGATCCAAATAGCCTTGACTCTTCCCAAATCTCCTCGGAAGCGAGTTCATCGTCATTCTCTCCAATCCCTAATTCACTCCGACGACGACGATGAAGAAAACAAAAATCTTATCAGATGTGTTAGAAAAAATTAGGGCTTTGAGTCAACATAATATATAAGCCTTTTTACGTATTGGGCCATTAACAAATTAGGCCCAATACATATGACTCACCAACGAAAAAGTATGTTTTATTATACAAAGCACCCCCACATTTAAATTAGAGTCAATTGAGTCCTCTATCCTTATCCGTGGACCGTCGTCTTCAGATGGCAAGTCTCTTCATCTCCGCCGTGTCTCTGTCGCCGTTACGGCCTCTGACTCAGAGTCGTCTTACAAAACTCAGCTACCGAACAAACCTTCACTCGTTTAATTTCAAACCAATAAGGTTTAGCACGAAGATTAGAAGTTTTGGTGGAAATCGGAGAGAGCCCAAGGATTCGAGATTCGTCGATGAAAATGGCGTAGTTGATGACATGGAAGGTTTCTTAGACAATCTATCTCTAGAATACGACTCCGTTTGGGACACTAAACCCTCTTGGTAAATCTCAATTAAGTTCACAGTTTAATTGATTTCAAGTAGTTTGGAGTTAGTGTTAAGATTGCTGGTTCTGAATATGGTTTCGAGCTTAGATACAGTTTGTTCATAGAGTCTTAAGGACCAATCTTTAATCTTTATTAGCAATTTCAGTGATTTGTGTCTACCCATGAATCATATGAAGCTCAATTTATAGAACAAGTCTTACCCAATTGCCATTTCATGATATGTGTTACAGTTCTTCACTCTGTTTTGGAAGATAGAAAAGACAAAAAGTTTTAGTCTTTGGGTGAGGGGGACAGTGAAGAACCAAAATACAGATCATGTAATTGCAACTGGGTTAAGAAGAGAGTTTAACATTCAACCTTAGCAACTACAGCTTTGGATATCTATTTGATCTGTTGTGTATTTGCAAACAAGAACTTTTCCGGTTCTTCTCAGACGCTTTTCAGGGCCTAAAAGGTTCTTCCTTTTCTTGAGATAGGGATTTGAATAAGCAGTGGCTATGTTTCTCAGGTGTCAACCATGGACGATAATGTTAACAGGTGTATCAATAGTGGCATGTAGCTGGTTAATACTACATTCGATCGTAGTTTCATCGCTTGCGGTTGGTTTAATTGGCGCTTGGTGGTACATTTTCCTTTATAGCTACCCAAAGGTATGATTTTTTTTCCTTCAACATATAACAACCTCTCCTTTTAGTCGAGCTACTAAAGAAAAGTTTGTAGCTCTATATACTAAGTCCGAGACAAAGTAAATATATTGTTTTCATAATCTTAGTGACCAGGGCATACTTTGGTATAGTTGAGCAAATCCTGGTTGTTTTTGAGATATAATGGTTTTGTATTCTTTGGTTATTTCAGTCGTATTCAGAAATGATCGCTGAAAGAAGGAAAAGAGTAGCTGATGGTTTTGAAGATATTTACGGCGACAACAAGACTTCGTAAGGACTTGTCAATCCTATAAGTAACATTCGTTTTCACATAAATCTTTCCCTCTGCTTGTGTGTATAATAACATGTCGTCATCTTCTATGGGTTAAATCTCAGTTTAGTTCCATTCACAGATGTTTGAATACAAAGCTCTTTGTCTCTTGATTTCAAACACCACTATAAACAAGCCAACTACAAAGTGAAAACACATAACTAAACCGACCGAATTAAGTGACATTGAACTAGTTAAACCAAAAGCTAAATTAAAAAAAAAATCGTATTCATATCAGAAGAAGAAGTAACATGAATCATCAAAACCGAAGGAAAAACAACACCATAAAACCAAATTAACCGATATAATTTCAGTTTTATCTTGGTAATATCCCAACCTAAACCGAACCAATTTATGCCTGAACATGATTTTACAGAATCGATACATTTAAACCGAACCGAGTATATTAGTACGCTTCTGAAACTGAAAAGGCTTGAGTTGAGATTTTTGCTTAATCCGACGAGAGACGGCGATGGCAAGCGGTGGTAACGGAACCAGTAACGGAGCCGGGAACGCAGGAACAAGCGGAAACGTTCCGATGTATAAGCCATACCGTCACCTGAAAACCCTAGAAGGTCACACGGCGGCGATCTCTTGCGTCAAATTCTCCAACGACGGCAACCTTCTCGCTTCCGCCTCCGTAGACAAAACCATGATTCTCTGGTCAGCCACGAATTACTCTCTGATTCACCGTTACGAAGGTCACTCTAGTGGTATCTCTGATCTAGCTTGGTCTTCTGATTCGCATTACACTTGCTCTGCTTCTGATGATTGTACGCTTCGAATCTGGGACGCTAGATCTCCTTATGACTGTCTTAAGGTTCTTAGAGGTCATACGAACTTTGTCTTCTGTGTTAATTTCAATCCCCCTTCGAATTTGATTGTGTCTGGATCCTTTGACGAGACGATTCGTATTTGGGAGGTTAAAACTGGCAAGTGTGTTAGGATGATTAAAGCTCATTCTATGCCGATTTCGAGTGTGCATTTCAATCGGGATGGCTCGTTGATTGTTTCGGGAAGTCATGATGGTTCTTGTAAGATTTGGGATGCTACGGAAGGAACTTGCTTGAAGACTCTCATTGATGATAAATCTCCTGCTGTTTCTTTCGCCAAATTCTCGCCTAATGGGAGGTTCATACTCGTCGCTACTCTCGATAGTACTCTCGTAAGTTTATACTTCTTGTTGCCTTAATCTTTGAATCAATCTGGTTATGAATTGAAGAATATAGATGATATATTGGTTTGCATCATGTTTGATTTGAGATATAAACAAGTTAAAGTTCTTTTAGGTAGTCTTTGATGGATTATTGCATTTTGTTGACCTTGAGAACAGTTTTATACGGAACAATTATAGAAACATTTTAATTTGTTCATGAACAAGAAGTACAGAGTTGAACTTTTTCATCTAGTCTTTAATGGGTTCTTGCATTTTGTGTTATCTGTTGATCTTGAGAACATTTTGGTACAGAACGAATGTAGAACCTGAGACTAATGGATTCCTGTGTATTGTTCTTTACTAATGGATTCATCTTTTTATTTGGATAAATAAATCAACAGAAGCTCTCCAACTATGCGACGGGAAAGTTTCTGAAAGTGTACACAGGACATACCAACAAAGTATTCTGTATCACATCGGCGTTTTCTGTAACGAATGGCAAGTACATTGTGAGTGGATCAGAGGACAATTGCGTGTATCTTTGGGATCTTCAACAGAAAAACATACTGCAGAGACTAGAAGGCCACACAGACGCGGTGATCTCAGTGAGTTGCCATCCGGTTCAGAACGAGATAGCTTCATCGGGTAATCATATGGATAAATCTATCAGGATTTGGAAACAAGATGCCTGAGGAATTGTTTGGAACATGAGTATGTATATATTTATTGGAAACATCAATGATTATGATTGTGAATCTTAACAGAATTGTTGTTTGATCTAAACACACTGTTTGGTGTTTCTGAATGGGATGGAAACCTCTTGCAAGTTCTTGATATTCGATGGTAAGAGAGGACATGATTCTATGTGTGTTCTTTCTGCAATCTGTAAATGATACTTGCTTAAAAATTAATATTTTATTATTAAAGCTCCTAAAAGGAATCAACCAAATCATCAAATTAAAATCTAGGCGAGTGTAAAGCCAATGAAAGAAAAATATTACCATCCACTTCATACTCAAAAGGGAAGAGACATACCCAATGCCCAACACTGAGATCAGAATTCATGAGGTAGAAAGAGATAGATGGCTTGACACATGGTGATGATCTGTGTTTTATCAAAAACTGAGACGAGTTGAAAATGAGGTTAATGCTGCAAACTTGCAAGCACAAGTTTCAGAGATTGACAGAAACCGAATATAAAACATTAACGGTGTATCGATCGAGTATCAAGTTTATGCATGGGATATTTGCATGCATAAACGAAACGAAACCAAAGGGAGATAGTTACATATACATGTCTAAAATTTTCATTATGATCTCTCGTTGAGATAATCTGTTATTGACTGTTAGCTGAGCTTCTGTTCAAGCATTGCTGATTCTCTCTAGTTTTCAAAAAAACATAATGACGACAAAAGTACATTTGAATTCTCAATATGTCCATGAAATCTTTTGATCTTAATTTAGACAGCCAAAACCACAAAAACTCATAAGGATTTAAAATAGTATTTAAAAGAACTGATAACATAATAAACTTTGATGAACCAATATTATCTATCTAAATTTAGCTAAAAACAAGAAGATTTGACTACAATTTTGACACCTGATCTTTCTTCTTTCAGCTTCGTAAAAACATTCCTACATTACACACACAACAATTGTGTCAGTAGTGCATAGTTGTGATATTCTAATTGGTATATTTTTTACAAAAAAAAAAAAAAAAAACTAAAACAAATCTACTTACTTTGATAAGATAATTTCCGTGCCTTCAACTTTGCTTATTACGTCCTATAAGGGAAGATCAAGGAAAGTGTTATGACTTGTGACTAAAGTCATATGAAAGATCAACTTAAAGGTGTGAAGTAGACTAGCACACACACGAAGACATAGTGGAGCAGCCAACTTACAATGTGCCGAATGAATTTGAAGTGTCCGTTGAGAAGCGAATTAAAAAAATACCCCATTTCTCTCTGTATATCGAGACGACGCTTTTCAGAAACTTCGGAATTGAGACATAATATATAGTATACTAGATTGAATAAATTTGAAACTTTAATAGTGGTTTTATGACTTACCTTGTCTAAAGAAGGACAATCACGCAGTATTAGAGTCTTGATTGGACTGTCTCTTGTACAATTTCTCAAATCCCTAACCATCAAAATATTCTTTATCAAGAGATTTTATAAGACATGCACTCAATAGCAATGGTTTGATTATTCAACACAAACCTCAAAAACCGACCGCTGATGTCAGGCGTTCTAGACAGATTCATGTACTTGAGTTTAGGAAAACCCTGTAAAATCATTTCAGTTCATTTTATTTTTTGGTTTAGGCGCCCAGTGTTTCGTAAACCTAAATGAAGAGAGAAGAGAGATAGCAAAAGAAATAAAAGCTACATACATCAACAAGATTTCGGACGGATTCTTCCTTTAGTTCAAAACCTATAAGAGTTAGCGAAGTTAAGCTGGGACAGGAGGTAACAAATGCCTCCACGGTTGAACACGATACACCTGACACACAATGTCTAAGCTTGAGCTAACCCCAAGGAGTAACTAGAGAGGAAAGAAAAAACACAGTTGAGATAGTTAACCTGATGCAGGGAACTGATCAACACTGTTCTGTAAGAACAGGCGTTGTATTTTCAAGCGACGGTTTCTAGTAAGCGTCTTTAATACTTGCTCTAGGATTTTTTTCCTATTACTTTAAGAATGGCAAAAAGTAACAATGAGATATTGGAGAAATTCTCATGAAATTACAGAGCTACGTAAATGCAAACGCCCCAAAAGAAAAACTTACAAATTAGCAATCTTGAGATTAGTGAGATTTGGACAGACTAATAACATATCGCATAAGGACTTGGTTCCCGTGGATACGAGATTGTAAAGTTCCAGGCTTCTCAAGAGACCCCTATTTGAGTGGACAAGGATCGGACAAATAATACCAATCAGAGAAGATCAAATTTGGACAATCAGATTCAAACATTAATATGATCACTTTGTTATACTTGGTAATCAAGAAAATTACCCTTTAAACCCGCGATTAAGAATTACTGAGGCAAGACAAGATCTCGTGAAGGAAGATCCTTTGCGTGAAGATATAACACGGCCGAGTTTAAGTGATCTTCATGTTACAAAAGAAACCACAAGAGATGATTACATAAACAACCAAAAGCAGAGAAAAAGAAAAAAAATGTAAGAATATAGGAGAAGCTGCCAATGCAAACAATTAATCACGCACCTGAGTTCCTTTCCAGCCTTATGGATCATACGACACACAATTTTATCAAAAATGCGATTGCCACCCATTTTCAAGTCAATGTGAGCGTAACATAAAGGGTCTACAGAGCATTTGCGGAACATGGTGCAACATGCTGAAGCTCGCATCAGAGATTTTGTATCAAGCATCGCAAACACCTGAGATTTTATGCACATTATAAACACACTAGTACGTGAGACTTATCACTCAAGAAACACATACCCCTCACAGATCGTTTATAAGACACAAGAAAGGGCTCCGACATATCACTTGTCATAACACAGTAATTTGAGAATAATCATTTTCCTGAAAAAATAACTATTGCGTGGTTACCAAGAAACAAGTCCCTAAAGCAACAACTATAGATTGAATAAATGCAGGTTTGAGATTCGTTACGTTAATGGTGAGATCATGAGGAAGGGGCCAAGAATTCGAATTGTAGAGAGTAGCACGCATTCGGACGAAGCGTTTAGTAGATTCGAGAAGAAGAAAGGCGAGTTTGCTAGTACGATCGATGAGACGATCCTGAACGGAATCATCACCGGAAGCTTCAGAAGCAGAGGCGAGAACCTGACCTAGCACTCGATCGAAGGAGCTACCGATAGAAGTTGAATCAGGCAACAGAAGGAAGGAGGAGATAGTCGAATCTACTAAGTCTCTCTGGTTGAAATCTGGAAGAGAATCAGGGTTTTGGGTGGGAGAGGATTCATCATCATGACGAGGTCGCTTAGGGTTTGGAGTATCCATGAACAAGCAACGTTGATCGGAGCGAATGTGGCACGTGCTGCTTAGTGACTTATATATGTGATCCCACTTTGTGAATTTCTTGATTAATTGCTAAAAATTCTACAAATAATTTTGTTTATACCTTTTCTTTGGTTAATTAAAACATTTTTTGCAATAATTAGTGTTTTAAAACTTTAAATCACCAAAAAATGTTTGGTTAGTCTATTTAAAATCATGTCATTATTTAACCCACACTGTCACATTATTCTAACTGGTTTAATAATTTCGTATGATGATGTTTTGGGCACAATTCAAGTATACCAAACAAGAAGATATAAATATTAAGCAAAGGGAAACGAAGGAACAAAAAAAATGAAGATTAACAACAATCATAACAAATATTCTTCATGAAAGCCCATGTCCTCATCATCATCTGACTCATCCTCATCTGATCCATCGTCTGAGTCATCATCTGAATCATCGTCTTCATCCACTTCATCGTCATCAGCTTCCATCATCTCTATTAGCCTCAACTCTTCGTCAGCGTAGAGCTCTACTGCACTGAAATTTACAGGCACACTTCAATTACTTAGATACCCTCAGGCTTTGATCAAATGATTATCGTAAAAGCCTGTTTCATAGGTAATCGATGTAAACCTTGACATTGGGAAATCTGCCACAAATGTGACATCTGATCTTTCTTCTTCCAGCCTCTCCAGAGGAAAGCTACAATTTATGGAATAAGCGAGTCATTAGTACGATTCCAATTCATAAATTGTTAACAATCTAAATAAGAAAATGAAGGATCAATTGGTTACTTTGGTTTGTTACATCTTTTGCCCCTGTCTGAAGAAGCTAAGCCGCGGTTACTTGAAACATCCTATTACGAGGAAGTAAACCAAAACGAAGAAGCCGATTAAGAGTAAACCACGTTATTAATACCTTGAATTTGCAGAATGCGGCATAATTCCATAAGAACTTACAATGCGACGGATGGATTTGAAGTTCCCTCTCAGTAGTGAGTTACAGAATTCCAACACTTCTTTCTGAAATTTCGAGGTCAATCATCAGTGGGTGTCAGATCAAGACTGATGAAACAACCAAAAACTTGATCATGCTTATTTTACCTCTTGTAGTTTAGGACAGTTGCGCAATATTAGAGTCTTGAGTAGACGATCTTTGCAGCCAAGTCCCAACTCCCTACCAATAATATTTTCTTGCTATGAGAGATTTTACTAATAAAAAGATTTAGAGCAAAAGTTTTTCTCTTAACATTTTGGTATATTTACCTCAAAAAACGACCTTTGATTGTAGGTGATCTGGACAAATTCAGGTACTCCAGTTTACGAGGACTCTGCAGATAACATCCAAATATTTAGTAAATTCATAAATTAGATGGTACCAAATGAAGAGCGAAGACACACCAGAAAAGATAAAAAATGGATTCATACCTCAGCAAGATTTCGGGCCCATTCATCGGTTAGTCCAAAACGTATGAGCGTTAGAGAAGTTAAGTTGGGGCAGTTGGTCACAAACTCTACCAACGATGATCCTGTTTTAGCCTCTAATGTACCTGTCACACAATAGGTGAGCTTGAGCAAACTTGGCAGTAACAAAAAGGAAAGCTTCACAGTGGAAAAGCTTTACGTGGATAACCATAGGTCTCTAAAAACAGTTGCTCTATTAAACGGCATTTTATCGTCAGTGAGTTGAATAGCTCCTCAGTAAGGTTATACCTGTAACATAAAACACGTAATAACGTAAAACACGAGAGAATGTTGCGTAAGAAATTAGAAGAACTAAAAGTGGACAACCACTAAAGAAAACATAGAAAGATGACAATATGAAACCTCTGGGCATAGGGAAAAACATAGAAATGGAGATATCGCAGAAATTCAAAAAAATAAGATTCAACTTACAATCCAACAATCCTCAGATCAGTGATATTTTGACAAACTGCCAAGGCATCGCATAAGGACCTGTATTTTATAGGTCTGAGATTGTAAAGCTGAAGGCTTCTCAAGCGACTCCTAGTTGAATGAAGAAAGAAAATACCAAGTTAGAAGATAAGTGCACATGATAAAGAACAACATTTTCTCAGAATACAAACCAGTGACACCAATTTCTCTGTATGTTAGTAGTGATAGAGATTCTGAATCACTTTCGAATGCAAAATAGAAGGAAATTGACAAGATATAAACATTAGGATTTTCTCTTGATTGATCTCAGGCTTGATATTTTTCCACCTAAGGCATTAGGCATAAAAAAATGAGTTATAGTTCTTTCCTATTTATAAAACCTATAGCCCTGTTTCTACATGTTCGTTTTTCAACTGCACATTAGGAAAGTTTAGACTGGGCAAGGCAGGTAATTGTAACAAGTTTGATATTGAAATGTCAAGCTGATCGAAGCAAATACCCAAGAAATCCATGATTATAGGCTAGTGGAGAAAGACAAGATCCGCTAAGCATAGGCGTGGCAGAATCAGATCCACCTGCGCGAACAACACGACCAATTTTGAGGGATCTGCATGCATAAACGAAACCCTGAGAATTTTTGCAAAGACCAAGAGATATAAGCAGATTGTCCCTCCATCTCATTGGACTCAGTAGGACTTAAACTAGCAATTTAGAAGAGAATGTAAAGCACATTGGTTGGTTGGTTGGTTGTTTTAAGACACACAAAAAATGTCACCTGAGTTCTTTTCCAGCACGATTGATCACAGTAGACACAATTCCTTTATCAGCATATCTAGCAGACGTTGTCAGGTCGATGTGGGAGTAACATAAACGGTCAATGGCACATTTGTTGAACATGGTGCAGCACGCTGATGCTTGCATCATAGACTTTGTATCAAGCATCGAGAAAACCTGAACAATCCAATTTTAAACACAGAGAGTACAATGAGAAATCACTCAATACAACATATCCTAAATTGATGAAGAGATCAGGCGACGAACAGAACCCTAACACAACATCACCTCTAAATATCCAAAGACGCAGGCAAAATCTAGAAAATCTTCGATTTTGTTTGGTTTACCTTAATGGTGAGCTCCGGAGGTAGGAACCAGGAATTGGAGTTGTGAACAGAAGCTCGCTTCCGGAAGCATCGTTTAGTGGAATCGAGAAGAAGAGAGGCGAGTTCGATACTCCGATCGACGAGACGATCTTGAACGGATTCATCACCGGAGGCGGAGGCGAGAGCTTTATCGAGGACTCGATCGAAGGAGCAGCTAATGGAGATCGGAGAGGAATCTGGAAACGAGAGGAGCGATGAGATAATCAAATCGGCGTGGCTCTGATTGGAGCCAGGAACCGAACGGACCGAGTTAGGGCTTTGAGTGGGAGGATTTGGTGAATCCATGGAACACAACGTTGAAAGAGTCTTCTCTTCTACCGTTTTGCTAAAAGTTATAAATGACTTCGCCTCCTCCATACCTCCGGGGTGTTTTTGTTTTTCATGTCTTTAAAATTAATAAATGTAAATATTTTTCTATTTTTTAATTTCTGTATTTGTTTATAAAACAATTTTATATTAAAAAAAACTCTAAAATAGCACTAAATTTTTTTATAGATAATTATGAAATACACTAGATTTTAACCGCGATACACCGCAAGCCGATATTCTAAACAGTATTTTATTATTATTTTTGTTTGATATATAAGAGTGTATTACTATATTTTGATTATTAATTCTTTGATTTAACCTGTAAAATATTGTATGATAATTTATCTTTTATATAATCGTAATTTGATCATCTTAATTAAATAAGTATAATATTTAAAATAATGAAATGATGTTGACATAACATTTTTCGTTTAAATAATATAGTTTCATATTAAAATATTTTGTTATTTATACTATAGTAGACAACCCGTAAAAACATCTATAATCATAATTATGTAATTTATAACTTGTTCCATCATATGACCCGTGCTACACAATTATCAAAAGTATTTTAATACATACATTTTATGTACCAATTAATATACGTTTGTTTTCAAAAATTCATATTCCAACATCTGCGGAAAAATATTTGTATTCTTATGATACATATGTTATATGTAAGAATATAAAATTTAATAATAAATTAGATCATTTAAATATATTTAAGAAATTTTCAGTTTATTAGGGAGATATTTTAGGAAATTTTTTTAAATGTAATAAATATTAATTTCTAATTTTGTAACTTTATTATGATTTAATTACAAAATTTACTCTAAACTTTTGTTATTTAATTAAATGGCCATGGTTTAATTATGTAAATATTACAAAATAAAAGGGTAGAACACAAAAGGTACTTCAAAAATGTTAATATAGATTCCATAAAAATCCAAAACTACTAGTTGACACAATTACAATATTTTAAATTACTTTTTCAGATTTGGTTGACTATTTTACATTCAGCCATTTAAGATATAGTTTTAAAGGGATAAAATTTAGTGTTTAAAGCTTAAACTTTAATTTTGAAATATAGTGCTATTTTTATAACTCTAAAGATGATCTGCTAATTTTTTTAAAAAATTTGTTGTTGTGCTTTTTGTGAGAATTGTCTACAAAAAATATAAAAGATTAATATTCCAATTTTAAAATTTAAAATTGGCAAAATTAATTTCTCAAATGTGTGTTAATTATGCATAGTTAGTTTTTGATAAGAACCAATTTTAACATCTATGTTTCTCATTTAATAATTAGAGAACTAATTTACAAACACGAAATTTAAGTGTTGTAAGTTTATATTTAATAATTATGTCAATATTTTCTGGACTACCACATGTTTGTCTTTTGTTACAAGAAAATAAATAAATTTACAAACAAAAATATGAATCATATAACTGAAATGAATACCCTAATATATTATATCATTTCAAATAAATGTTAGTCTTTTAGGACTTAGCTCGAATATATATATTTGTTAACATCTTACTTAATTTATCTCATGGTTTAAAATAATCAAAATATATAGTTGGTCAATTTGAAGAGAAAAAACTTGGGACTGATTTCATAAAATCGAATTAAACAATGTAGGGATCATTATTTGGGTTACCATATAAGCATGAGCTTGCGCCAACGTTTCATTAGTCTTTTTGATGATATGATATTGCGAATTTCACGGTCGATCAATTTGAGTAGACAAACGCTCGGAGTTATGCAAGACGTTATTACGTTGCCACCAAATGATGTAGATTATCGTTTGAAATGCTAGTTTTCGGAGGAGGGCAGGGGCTATCAGAGAAGAGAGTCGAGTACAAGAGAGCAACTCTTACTATGAAGAGAAAAATCACTATCAAGGGCAGAGTCTAAAAAATACTGACATCCAAAGCTGAGAAAAAAATCAAAAGTTAGGAAAAAATGGTCCCGAGATTCTGAAACAAACGAGCATAGACAACACTCTGAAAACTAAATCTAATCCAAGAAAACAAGCTCTTGCTACGCGAGCTATCTATCAAAGTGACTTACTTACATATATAAAACATGTTTTAGGACAACCCATTCGAACCAAACATATTTTCTCCAATCTTTTTCTGTTTCCCGAGATCTCAGTGTTTCCCAAGTCTTCGCTGAAAAAAATCCAAGATACCTTTCATCGCCTACACACTATGAATACGAATTATTAATCCATATAGAAAATATAATTAAAAAATGACAACAAAACAAATGTCGCAAAAAAACAAAATCAAAATACAAAAATATATATAATATATATAAAAAATATATAAATGTGTGCGAATCAACAACTAGTAATAGTATAAACAAAAAAAGAATAGCTAGGCTAAGTACTAATTAAGTAGTTGTTACAGTATTGAGAATTATAGAATATCAGGTTTACTAAACAGTTTTAGTATCAAAATCTAATAAAACTTGAATCATATAAAGGCTTAATGGTTTTTTTCTCCTTTTCCTTAGAAAGTGGACAAAGTTAGGAAGAGGAGACGACAATGTTTTTGAAGAAACGACAAAAACAAAAAGGTGGCAAAGAAGATAAATATTAATTTTTCTTGGTCGACAAGCATGTTTGACTATTCGCATTTTCTTGACGCCCAAACATACAATTTGGTCTACTAGTCCCTCAAACATATTATAAATACAAGAGCTTTGTAAATTTCACAATTCATCAAGTCTCAAATCGAAATAAGCAAGCATGAAGAGTACTGAAGGTCGTCATCAAGGCGTCTTAAGGACAGGAATGATTCATCCGCGCCCGCGACACACAACACCAGCACCACCACCAGCTAATGGAGTAGTAATTACCAAAGCCAAAGTGCCGTCAAAAGCTACCAACCATTCAAATATCGTCGGAGATATTAGTCAGCGGTCCAAGTACAGTAATTGCCACGTGTCGCCGGCTATCAAGTCTGCCCACAATTCTAAAGGTCGCCGTAACTTACAACCGTGGGGTGAGGACAAGCTAGACCGGCTCATCGGGTCGGGGTCTTCGTCCGCTAAGGATATTTTGGATACATTATGTGATGATGATGAAGATGATCATGACAATGACAATTAATTATCCCGTTTGAGATTATGAGAGATTACTGTTTTATATATATGTTTGAACTTCACAATGATCATAATTATGGGAAGCATGTAATACTTTCGTGTCAATGCATATTAGAGTTGGAATTAATGATAATCTAATCTATTTAAAGATTATTTTCGCAACCTAACAATAGATTGATTAATTTTTGTTTGTGGAGTGTGTGCAATAACTTTCTACAAAAAAAAAAAATTGTGTTAATTTAGGATATTTCTGAATTAATTAAAAAAAAAAAAAAATTGGTAAAAGTACCAAGTACAATTCATCCTTAACACTATCAAACAACAAGCCACAGTTAAGTAAAAAGTCCTATTGAAGCAGAAGAAGAAGACTATGATGACTAGTAGACAAAGTTATACCTTTCATTCCACACAGATTTACCAAAATTGCTATAAGAACTCGCAATGTGCCTAATGAATCTCAAGTGATTTCAAAATCTGCACAACTTCTTTCAGAACTGTTGTAATTTTCAGGTTCAGTGAGTGTGAGATTAAGATAGCAATGCAACAGCCAAAAACCTGTTATGGATAAGAGCAGCCTCGCAATGTTGGAGTTGTGAGTGCACTGTCTTTGAGCTATGTTTCGAATTTCTACCCTATCAAAATTGTTTCAGCCTGATACAACTTGGGAGGAGGAAATAGCGCCATTAACATTTTGTTGAGGCAACCACCAACAGATTCATGTACTATTAAGTTAGCCAGCACCCTGCAAAAGAAAACTTGTTCGTTTTGTAAAACCGTAACAGCATCGATTTCTACTAAAGGAAGAAACAAGAAATGCGAGAAAACAGAAGGAGCAATACCTTAGCCAGAATTTGGGATGTCTAAAATCTACGAGTGTTAGCGAGGTTAAATTTTGGGATGTTGGTCAAGCACACTGTTAAGGCTGATGATTCTTTTCGTAATTTGTTTACCTGTTAATAACAGACTATTATACAATAGGTAAGATTGATTAAGTAAACAAAACAGGTGCTCATCTGAGATCCCAGCATTAAACTCCATTATCTACCTTTTCAGCAGAAGTTGGCAAGTCGAGATGCGAGATTAACAGAAAGGGTCCAAGGTACACTTGTGGAACATGGTGCAGCATGCCATAGCACGCACTAGAGACTATGTCAACTGTCAAGCAGCGAAAACACCTGAATTTGCATTAGAGACATAATACATGAGCATCAGTGAAGTGAAAACATTCTCAGTTTTTCCAAAGTATCGTCACTGGATTCAATAACACACAACAAAGTTGCCTATTTCCACAAACTATGCATAATCTGAGATTTCTCAATTCCTAACATCGATGACAAGATAAAGTGGGGGACATCATTCTACATAGACCCCCTAAGAGCAAAAATGGAACAAGGCCGCAGAACAAGTTATGTGTAAGTAATAATTTGAGAAATTCTCAAGGAAAGGGTTTACCCAGTTAGACACGAATAATACAAGATTGAGAATCCTCAATTTGCTTACATCAATGGTGAAATCAGGCATGACACATCAATGCACAACACTTCCCTTCACCTGTTGCCAAACGAAGACAGAATCCATTTCCCTTTCTAATTGGTCAATAGTTATACTGAATCAAGATGAAATGGAATCACCATCACTTCACCAGTAGTCTCCACAAGAACATGAACCATCCTTAAAATGGTGAAATCTGTTATTATCCCTCAAAATAATTAATCTCCCTGTAATTTTAGCCATATACTTGATGGCATTGTGACAGTCCTCACACACACGCAGATTCTTAATCACACGGATCGGTCTCCCTGAAGGCACATGCATTATTCCATACGCTACAGCCAGTCTCTCGCTATGGTACCGAACCATACGCTCTTTCTCTTCTTCTTCCACATCATGAAGAACCACACTCGTCTTTGAAACATACCCTGCTTTCTTTATTCTCAACTCCAGATCCTCCAAAAACGCATATATCTTGTCTTTCTCAGGATGAAACTCATCTGCAACCGAGAAAGTATGAGTTTTGTTCTGAATCTCAATCCAACTGTACCCTGGAACTTTCTTTACCCCTTTATCCCGCATTTTCACTCGTAGTTTACCTACATCTCCCCATCGACCCGAAGAAGCATATATATTAGAGAGAAGAACATACATACCAGAATTTTCAGGCTCCATAGCAAAAATCTTATCTGCAGCTGTTTCAGCTAGATCTGTGTTTCCATGGACTCTGCTTGCACCAAGTAAAGTTCCCCAAATAGCAGCGTCTGGTTCAAAGGGCATTTTCTTCATTAGATTGTGAGCTTCGTCTAGAAGCCCAGCTCGACCGAGAAGATCAACCATGCAAGCATAGTGTTGTGAGTTAGGCGTTACACCATAGTCTTGAGTCATCGTATAGAAATATTGCCTGCCTTTGTCAACAAGTCCTGTGTGACTGCACGCAGATAATACCGCAACCAAAGTAGCATCATCTGGCTTCAGTCCTTCTCTCTTCATCGACTCAAAGAACCTTAAAGCCTCTTCTCCGAACCCGTGCCTTGAATAACCTGCAATCAATGTGTTCCAAGAGACAATGTCCTTCCCATTCATTTCCTTAAACAAGTCATTAGCTTCTTCTATGCTTCCACATTTGCAATACATCAACAAAAGCGCATTTCCAACAAAGCACCCAGTCTCATACCCACCTTTGACCAGTCGCCCATGCAATTGCTTCCCGAGCTCGAGAGCAACAACGTCTGCACATGTGCTTAGAGCAGATGAAAACGAAGACCGATTCAGTCTACCTCCCTCTCTCTCCATTTGTACAAACAAACGCAGAGCTTCATAGCTGTGCCCACTTTGTGAATACCCTGAAATCATAGCTGCCCAAGAGACCGGATCTCTCATAGGCATTTTATCAAAAAGGTTCTTAGCTTCAGAAATTTTTCCGCACTGAGAAAATCCAGTTATCATCGTGTTCCATGTACTAACATTCCTACAAGGCATAACATCAAACAATTCCTTTGCCATCTCCATTCTCTCCCCCTGCACATATCCCGCAAGCATGGCATTCCATGACACTTCGTTTCTCTCTGGCATGTTGTCGAATAATTCTCTCGCTTCTTCCACCATTCGGTTTTGTATATATCCTGACACCATAGCTGTCCATGTAAAGACGTCTTGAACAGGAGACTCATCAAAAAGTTGTCGTGCCTCATCTATTTTCCCGTTCTGTGCATAACCAGTAATGATCGTATTCCAAGAGACCACATCCCTCACCTTCATACTATCAAAAAATTGTCTTGCCTCGACAATCTTTTTCTTCTTAACAAACCCACCAAGCAAGCAGTTCCATGAAACTAATGCCCAATTTTCCCTAGACCCAAACAATGCACAAGCCTCCTCCAACTTATTGTTCTGAACATATGCTGAGAGCAATGCATTCCACGACACTTCATTTTTCTCAGGCATTCGATCAAAGATCCTCCTTGCATCATCAACACACCCGTTCTGAGCGTATCCCGACAGCATCGTATTCCACGAACAAACATCCCTCTCAGGCATTCTCTCAAACAATTCCCTAGCTATCCCAAGATTCCTGTTCCGTACATACCCTTTGATCATCACATTCCAAGAAACTAAATCCCGTTCAGGCATTTCATCGAACAACATCCGGGCGAGTTCAAACTCACCATTTCTCAAGTACCCAGAGATCATGGCGTTATAAGAAACGGAGCTCCACCTGGGCATGCGCTTAAAGACACGAAGCGCTTCGCTGCACCTTCCAGTACGCATGTAGCTGCTTATAGCTACGTTCCACTCCTTAATATCCGAGTCTCCAGATTTAGAGGGAAGTTTGCTCTGCGATTTCTCGATTTGGGTTTGAGTAGTTCTCTTCGAAGAGTGAAAAGTTGATGCATTGTTTGTGATGAATCTTCGTTTGAGTCCATTAAAGGATGTATGTTGCTGCTGAGTTAGCCATGAAAGAGCGCGAAATAATTGGATTTGCATTAGAGACATTACTGAAGAGAAAACATCCTCCCGAAAAAGGTCGTGTCAGAGGATTTAACACAAAAACCAAAGTTTTTAAGTACAAATCAAATCACTCTTATTGCGGTCATTGTGCATCTATCTCTAGTTTGCCATAATTTGTTTTAGTTTATACACTTGGTTTTTCAACTTTTAAATTTTTAGAAATTGGTTGATTCACGTAAACTAGAATGTAACTTTAGAATGCAAGATCCAGCAAAAATAAATGGATTTTTTGACCATAGATGGCCAAAAAAAATACAAGACGAGACCATTATCACAAATTCACAAGTAACACGTCAGTCGTCCCCGTCCTCGTCGTCGGTTCCACTACTGGAAGAAGAATCTTCTGAGCTGCATTTTACAAACAACGAATCATTTAACTTCAACTCCAAATAATTATTTTACACGCCTAACAACAAATTGATCAACCTTGAGGATGATGAAGAAGATGATGATGATGATGATGATGATGATGATGATGATGATGATGATGATGACGATGGTGATCTAAATTCTGCCACAAAAGTGAGACCTGGTCTTTCTTCATTCAGCTTTTTCAGAAGAAATCTACAGCACACAATAATGGCCATATAAGCCGGTGCATATGGTAAACAATTATAAATAAAATAAAAACACTTACTCTGGTTTACTACATATCCTGAACTCATCATAAGTGAATCCGGCGTTATTTGAAACGTCCTATAAAAAAAATAGATCATGAGTAAACAAAATCACCAGTCACCAGCAGATTTTTACCAAAAAACTAGTAATGCCTTATTTATTATCAACTTACAATATGTCGAATGAAACTGAAGTGTCCTCTGAGTAGCGAATCCAAAAACCGGCAAATATTTCTCTGGAAATACGTAACACTCAAAGGGTAAATACCAGTGACATTATTGAGAGGCAACAACTAAAGAAAATAAACTGTCTGGTGTTAAAAAAAAAAACTTTACCTGCTCAAGAGATTTGCAGTCTCGCAATATCAGAGTCTCGATCAGAGAGTCTTTGCAGTCATGGTTCACATCACTATCCATAAAAAAATTTCGGCCATAAGAAATTTTGCTAACAGATAAATAATTACTAGGCAACATCACATCATGAATATGTTTACTCAGAAAACATCAACCTGAAAAAGGTTCCTTTGATTTCATATGTTCTCGATAGGTTCAAGTACTTCAGCTTACGCAAACCCTGCAAAAAAGCATCCGATATTTTTGTAAGACATTTAGATAGCACCAAATGAAAATAGAAGAAATACCACAAAACCAAAAGAGCCATACATTAATAAGAAGGTAGGCGTTTCTATCACTTATGTTATAACCTATAAGTGATAGTGAAGTTAAATTCGGGCAGTTTCTCTCAAAGGACAAACCACATATATAGCTCGATCTACCTGTCACACATTAGGGTGGGTCAGCATAAGCAAACATAAAAGGAAAACAAAAGCAAAGCATCATAGTGGACAAACTTTACCATACCAATCTCTGTCTCTAAGAACAGATGCTGACATTTTCTTGTGAGACAATCTAATACGCTATCTAATGGCGACTGAATATTCCTGTAAGAGAAACACAGAAATATTGCAGAAAGTGAGAAATTGTGACAAAGCTTGATGGTCGAGGTTGTATAGAGACTTGGAAGCTTCGTAATAGACTGTTAAATCAGGGCTAAAAAAGGGTTTAAGGCCTTAATATAGGCATTCTGGCTTAAATAGGGGTTTTAAGAGCTGGAGTCTCTCATTTGTCAAAGTATCTCTATAGTGTACTTCTTTGGTGACTGAATACTAAACGGGTACAAAAGAAACTTGTATATTCTAAAATCAACAGACATAAAAAGTATCAAATGAACAAATAATGGAAAGCATATGTAGATGATGAAACTCAAAAAATGAAATGGAGAATTCATGAAACTCAAACATACAAGGAAAATGATAAGCTACCGGTTTAAGACCAACTTACAGTCCAACAATCTTTAAATCGGTTAGATTTGAGCAGACCAACAATGCACGACATAAGGACTTGGTCTCCAAGAGGTTATAAATGTGTAGGCTTCTCAAGAGATTCCTTGTTGAATGGAAACAAAAGAAAAGAAAAGGATACAATACTATCAGAGATACAAGGCCACCACATAAACCAGTACTTGTAGAACCAATTTCTATGTATGGTAAGCCCAACAGAATTTTGGTAATAAAGCCAATACCCAAGTAAACTATGATTATAACATAGGGCAGCAAGAAAAGATCCTGTAAGCAAAGAATTCGCAGCTATATCCCGGCAACCAACTTTTAGGGATCTGCATGCATCAACAAACCATGAGAGATAATGATAAGATACACCAAGTTCAAATAAATATAAGATAAAAGTAAGAACAAGGAGAAGCTTCTCACCTGAGTTCTTTTCCAGCATTAAGGATCATACTACGCACAACTCTATTTCCAACATTTACGGTTGTCAAGTCAATGTTGGTGTAACAAAATGAGTCCATGGCAGATTGTTGGAACAAGGTACAACAAGCCATAACTTGCATCAGAGATTTTGTATCAACCATAGAAAAGACCTGCAATTTTAAGCCCAAATCAATACAAACACATTCTCAAATTAATTCCCACAAAAAGAGACACCAAACTATTCAATGTATAATCTGAGAATCCTCAACTGAGTACATCTATGGAACATCTTTCAACAGAACACATTGTATAAACACCTCCTAAGACCCTAAAACATGGTCAATAACTCAGGTTTACATAGATTTGGAGAGATTAATCTCACGAAGGTGTAGGAAGTCACTATTTGTTACCTTAATGGTGAGTTCATGAGGGAGTGGCCAGGAATTGGAATTGTGGAGAGAAGCGCGCTTTCGGGATACACGTCTGATGGAGTCTTGAAGAAGCGACGCGAGTTGGAGTGTTCGATCAGTGATACGATCGTGAACGGAGTCATCGCCGCCAGAAGCTTCGAACAATTTCTCAACCGCTCGATCGAAGGAGGAGTCAATGGAGAGCGGCGACGGTAACGAAGGCAAATCCGGCAACGAGAGGAACGAATCTATAATCAGATCGACGTCGTTCTGACCTGGAACATTATTATTATTAGGGAGAGAATTTGGGTTTGGGTTTGGGTTTTGGATTCTGAAAAGTGGCGGGTTTTGAGGTTCCATGATAAAAATTCGTAATTAGATAAATTAAGGGGGTTGTTATTGGTTTGTAATTTTTAAAATTTTTTGTTTGGGCAATGGTTTGGTATTTATATAGTTTTTTTTTAATAATTGTATATGGTATGTAAATTTTCTTGTTATTTAATAAATATTTTATTTTTTTGAAAATAAAATTTTGGTGTATTAGTTATTGGTTTGTAAAAAAAATATTTAAAATTTTCATAAATATGGGGTTATTGGATTCAAAATTTTAGAATTTCTTTAAATATTTTGTGTTCAATAAAACAAAAAAATCTCTTATTTTTAATTAATTAAATTATGAGAAATATCCTCAAAATAGCACCAAATATGTTTTAGGGATAACTATAACATACATTCCAAAAGTTCCCAAAAATAGCACTAACTGATACAATTATAATATATTAAATAATTTTTAGAAGTTTTTTTTAGGTTTGGGTTGACTATTTTACATTATGTGTAGTTTTTAGGGGATAAGATTTATTGTTTAAAGATTGATTTATTTTTGATATATGGTGCAAATTTTGGAAAATAAAAGAGTGTGTGCTAAATTTGAAAAAAAAAAACTTAAATTAGTGCTATTTTTGAGAATTGACCTTAAATAATGGGAGATTTGCAAAAATGATTTTTTAGGTTAGCCTTTCGTAAGAATACCCCCATTTAGTGTTAATTTTAAAATATACATATACTCTTAGATACAAAATAATTAAATTAACCTTTTTTAGTGGAATACATATTAAGGAAATTAATATTTCTTCCAACAAAGGAAACATCCCTTCCGAAGAAATTCCCACTAAATTTTCCTACCAAAAAATTTTCCGTGAATAAAGAGCGACAAGAATAACGAAGGCAAATCTGATAACGAGAAGAACGAATCTATAATCAGATCGACGTTGTTCTACTCAAAGCTTGGAACATTAGGGAGATAATTAGGGTTTGGGTTTTGGATTCTGCAAAATCGCTTGTTTGGGGGTTTGAGGTTCGATGACAGGGACATCAACTTTCGAAATTAGAAAAATGAAACTCCTTTTCAATTTTAAAAATCGACCAAAGTACGAAAATGATCTGTTTCGCTCATATTCCATAGTTTATTCACATGATTTTTCAAGCTTAAATTTTTAAAAATTGGTTGATTTACGTAAACTAAACAAAAATATTTAAATCAAACAAATATAGACTAGATAGCATATACTTTGGGTAACTAAAAGATGATATTTGAAGTAGAATGCACGATCCAACAAGGTTTTTTAGACCATAGTTGAAAAATTAAAAGAAGAAGACGAGACCATTATCACACCTTCACAAGCAGGTCACACGTCAGTCGTCTTCGTCCTCGTCCTCGCTGGAAGAAGAATCTTCTGAGCTGAATTTTACAAACAACAAATCATTTAACTTCAATTCCTAATAATTATTTTGAACGTCTAACAACAAATTGATCAACCTTGAGGACGATGAAGACGATGAAGAAGATGAAGACGATGAAGATGATGATGAAGACCATGATGGTGATTTAAATTCTGCCACAAAAGTGAGACCTGGTCTTTCTTCATTCAGCTTTTCCAGAGGAAACCTATAACATCCAATAATGGCCATATAAACCGGCGCCTCATTAACCTTGAGTTATTATGATTACTGTTTTTCATATGGTAAACAATATAAAAAAAAAAATCAGTTACACTGGTTTGCTACATCTCCTGCCGCCATAAATCAGTCCCCTGTTATTTGAAACGTCCTATTGAAGAAAAAGATCATGAGTAAACAAAATCACATGTCACCAGCAGATTATTACCACAACAAGTAAAGTACTAGTTATTATTAACTTACAATGTGTCGAATGAATTTGAAGTGTCCTATGAGTAACGAATTCAAAAACCGGCAAACATTTCTCTGGATATACGTAACTCAAAGGGTCAAATATTAGTCATTAATATGAGATGCAACAACAATAGAAAAACTGTATTATGTTAAATTCCTTTACCTCCTCTAGGGAACCGCAATCTCGCAATATCAGAGTCTCGAGCGGAGAGTCCTGACAGTCATGGCTCACATCCCTACCCATCAGAAAAAATTCTTCGCCATAAGAAGTTTTGCTAACAGAAAAATACTTAGTAGCATATCATCATCAATATGTTTGCTCAGAAAAACATCAACCTCAAAAAGCGTCCTTTGATTCTATCTGTTCTGGATAGGTTCAGGTACTTGAGCTTACGTAAACCCTGCAAAAACGCATCCCATAATTTTGTAAAACATTTAGATAGCAGCAAATGAAAAATAGAAGAAATACCATAAAACCAAAAGACTACCTTAAAAAGAAGGTAGGCCTTCCTATCACTTAAGTCAAAACCTATAAGTGATAGGGAAGTTATACTGGGGCAGTTTCTCTCAAAGGACAAACCACATATACTGTTCGATCTAACTGCCACCCATTAAGGTCAGCTTAAGCAAACATAAAAGGACAACAATAGCAAAGCAAAGCATCATAGTGGAAAAACTTTACCAGAGTCAATCTGTTTCTCTAAGAACAGATGCTGACATTTTCTTGTGAGAAAATTTAATACGCTATTTAATGACTCAACATCCCTGAAAGAGAAAACAAAATTACTGCAAAAAGTGAGAAAATGTGACAAAGCTTTATAGTCCAGCTTAGGACTATTGTAACTAGCCTATGAGGTGAATAGAGACTCGGAAGCTCAGTTATAGACTTTGAAATCGGATGGTTGACTGGGTAGGCTTTAAAGGGGAACTAGGCAGATAAGTTTAGGCATTTTGGCTTATCTAGGGTTTAGGTTAAGAACTGGAATTTTCTCTTTGCGAAAGTCTCTCTATGGTGTACTTCTTTGGTGACTGAATACATAAATTCTTGGAACTTATCAAAACAGTACAAAAGGAGCTAGTAGATTCAAAAATTATCAGACATAAAAAGTAGCAACTGAACAAATAATGGGAAGTATAGATGAGGAAACGCAAAAGAAAAGAAATGGGGAATTCATAAAAATCAAGCATACAAGGAAAATGGTAGGCAACAGGTAAGGCCAACTTACAATCGAACAATCTTCAAATCGGTTAGATTTGAGCAGGGCGATAACACACCACATGAGGACTTCTTTTCCGACCATTTGAGATTGTAAATGTGTAGGCTTGTCAAGAGATTCCTTGTTGAATGGGGAAAAAAAAAACTTATTATATCAAAGATGCAAGGCCACAGAAACCAGTAGAACCAATTTCTATGTATTGTACGACAAACAGAATTTTGGTAATAAAGCCAATACCCAAGAAAACCATGATTATAGGATAGTGCCGCAAGACAAGATTCTGAAAGCAACAATTCCGTAGATTCATCCGGGAAACCAACTTTTAGGGATCTGCATGTATCAACAAACCCTGAGAGATGAGTAGATACACCATGTTCAGATAAATAGAAAGGCAAAAAAAAAAATGAAGTAAGAAATAGGAGAAGCTTCCAGTTGTTAGAATACTTGCATGAAGAAGAAGAAAGGAAGGACAATAAGAAGATTTCAGATATATGATAAAGACACAAAAATCTCACCTGAGTTCTTTTCCAGCATTAAGGATCATACTACGCACAACTCTATTTCCAACATTTACAGTTGTCAAGTCAATGTGGGAGTAACAAAAAGAGTCCATGGCAGCTTTTTTGAACAAGGTGCAACAAGCTGAAACTTGCATCAGAGATTTTGTATCAACCATCGAAAAGACCTGCAATTTGTAAGCCCAAATCAATACAAACACATTTTGCAAATTGATTCCCACAAAAAGGGACACCAAACTATTCAATGTATAATATGAGTCCTGAGAATCTTCAATCGAGTACATCTATGGAACATCTTTCAACATAACACATTGTATAAACACCTCCTAAGACCCTAAAACATGGTCAAAAACTCAGGTTTACATAGATTTAGCGAGAAAATCTCTCAAAGGTGTAGGAAGTCACTATTTGTTACCTTAATGGTGAGTTCATGAGGGAGTTGCCAGGAATTGGAATTGTGGAAAGAAGCGCGCTTACGATATAACCTTTTGGTGGACTCTTGGAGAAGCGACGCGAGTTGGAGTGTTCGATCAGTGAGACGATCGTGAACGGAGTCATCGCCGCCGGAAGCTTCGAACAATTTCTCAACCGCTCGATCGAAGGAGGAGCTAAAGGATAGCGGCGAGGGTAACGAAGGCAAGTCCGGCAACGAGAGGAAGGAAGATATAATCAGATCGACGTCGTTCTGCTCGAAATTAGGGTCTGGGTTTTGGATTCTGCAAAGTCGCTTGTTGGGGTTTTGAGGTTCCATGACAGAGATTTTCTCCCTTTTCTAATTTTTTTTTTTTTTTTTTTTTACTCTCCCTATCAATTTAAAACCCACCAAATAAATAATGAAAAATTATTGGGTCTTCTCATTCTTCAAAACTTAACAAATCAAACTATAACAATATACTATATTATATTTAAACCAAACTAAAATTAAAATTAGAAAATAAAATATGTATATTAAGAAAATTTAAAATTTATATGTTGTTTGGATTTATAAAAAAATGATTAAAGTTTATATTTTATAATTAAACGAAAATATATGTTGATTAGAGTTTATTAAAAAAATTATGGCTAAAATTTTATAATAAACAAAATCTCGGTTAGAGTTTATAAACGGGTATCTAGGGTTTAAGATTTATTTTTTATAATAAAACGAATTTTATATTGGTTTTTAGGTTTAAAAACGAGGGTTTAGGCTTTATAAACAAGTTGACCAACATTATTGGGGGTATCTTAAAGGGTTAAGATACCCCGGTTTTTGCATAGAAAGTATCTTATCTAAGATACCCCCAATAATGTTGCCATTAGGGCATCTTCATTAGGGGTATCTTAGTAGGCTAAGATACCCCCACTTTTCTAAAGAAAATCCTTATATAACATATTTTCTTTGAAAAAGTGGGGGTATCTTAGCCTGCTAAGATACCCCCAATGAGGATGGTCTTAGGCTTTTAAGAGAAGTTCTTCCCTGGCTGAACTCAAGAATTGTCCATAAATAACGCATCAGTTTTAGGAAATTACACATAGAAGCTGCAATTTTGAAAAAAAAAAACAGAATGTTTTGGAGTTTAAAGTGTGTTCCCAAAACAGAGGAGAATGAAACAATTTTGACTTGAGGGAGAATTGAACATATGAGTCCTAAACCCGCATAGTGGTCTCAAATTTAGTTATTACAGTCCACATTATCGTTTTTTATAACTTAAGAAACGATCCGTCTCGCACTTTCATCAATGGTCATGAACGTGGTGACGTTGATGCCAGGGTGAGGGTCACGTAATATGTAACCGTAGTCGGACTGTCCACAAGGGGTGAGATCGAAAATAGCGTTTGATGGGTCAAGGTTCTCGTCGTCTTGTTGAGCAGGAAGAGTGAGTGTGTGAGGGCCATGGCAGAAGTGTAGTTTACATCCGGGAACGGGAGCTTCAACTCGAACATTCCTTCAGAGAAGTGTTGTCTCAGTAACCACCAGGGGGTACCGGTCTTCACGTTCAGATCAACCACATTAAAGTGGAGTCCGAAGTTTGTAGCATATTCCACAACAGCTTGTGCGTACGCCTCAGGGTTCCAAACTCGGTTATTCGGAAGTCCGTATTGATGTCCGGTAGGAGGGAGAACAGGGACATAACGTGCCGGATAGGTTACTGATGTTGACAGCTCCGAGTTGTTGAATTGCAAAAGCAAATGGTGCAGCGACAACGGGTAAGTCCGTGATTCCTTTTGGCCTTTTGAGGTAAGCTGAAGTGTACCTGTCAGGGAATTCGGTAATTATAAGAGCACGTAATTTGAGATAAGTCGCAACACATGCCCCAATAGCGAGTTGATTCGAAACTTGAGTGAGTCGATAGATTTTGGGTGAGAGGCCGATTAATCACTATTTCCTCGAGAAATCCATTAGCATGAGTGCATGACTACCAATTATGGCGAAGATTAGAAAGAGGAAGACGAACGATTCAGATTCTGGGAGAGAACGAATATATTCGACTGTTGGGAGACCTCTCTGACTAATAAAGAAAAAGGTGGGCCTCCGTATCTATATCTATATCATAAATTTAGGTGGGCAAATTTCAACCTCAACAATTTGAAAAGTATATTTTTATACCTGATTTTGATAACGTGTGTGAATTTTAATCTAAATTAAATATCTTTTCGAACAAACAACATGAACTATCAAATTTATGCCAAAATCAATATTGACCGAGATTATGTTGGTTAACCACGATGAGTCAGTTGCTATGTATGAAGAAAGAAAACTTTTAATTAATTTTAATATTTGGTGTATAACTTAAATGATGCAAAAGAGATCTTCCGTTTTACCTTTTAAATATTTGAAGACACAAAACCAAAATCATACAAGAGATTCAACGGAAGCCCTTAAGGCATACAAATTAATTTCATAAACCCCATCAAGAACAATACAAATTATTTTATTGTTAATTTTATTGTGCTTCGAATTCAGATATTTACTATTCATTTTTCTAAACAATAAAATAACAATTCAACATCCATTTAGTGTTTTTGTAGTTTATGAACAAACCGATTATTTTTGTCCAAACGGATTTCGTTTGGGTAATGATTTTCAAGAAATTTTTTGAAATTAGTTGTTTTAATTTAAGTTCTTTGTTTCAAATTACAGTAAAACCTCTATAAATTAATACTCGATAAATTAATAATCTCTATAAATTAATAAATTTCTCCGGTCCCAAGTTGGGACCGGTGTAATTTTAGACATATTTCGATAAAATAATAAGATAATATTTTTGTTGAAAATCCTTTGTAAATATATGGTCCCAATAATATTATAAATTAATAATTAGGTAAAATTTTCAAAATATATGTATATATAGACACATTAGTTTTTGTTAGAGTTTATTTCTAATATTTTACTATATCAAAAATTGTTAGCATTCTCTTTTAAGACATAATAATTATTATTTTCTTTGTAATTGATTATATAAAATACTAATTATCATGATTAAATCTCATTTTTAAATATTTTTCTGAAAAAACTTACAAATTAGAAAAATCTCTCTATAAATTAATATCTCTATAAATTAATAAATTTTCATGGTCCCAACATTATTAATTTATAGAGGTTTTACTGTAGTTGTTTCAAATTAAGTTCCTTGTTTCAAACCAGGTTAAAATTTTCACATTAGCAAAGTTAAGGCATGAAATTAGTTGTTTTACTATCCGGACTCACAGTCACAGACCTCCTTCAGATTCCGAGTAAAATGCAGAATCGGAGCAGGAAGCTGCGGTTAGTACTCGGAATAGAGATCGAAGGAGGAATTTGAAGGTTTCTTACTTTTGAAGATATCGTGTTTCTTCAATCGATTACAGGAAGAGACTGTTTGAGTATAAGAAACAGATTTCATGAATTCTTGGACAAATCCATTAGCATAACTACCAAATTAATGGAGAAGATTAGAAGGAGGAATACAAACGATTTAGACTTTTTGGAGACCTCTCAAAGTACCCCAAAGATAAATTATAGGGGTCTTTGTATTCATATTTAGTCCAAGTCATTGTCATCCTCCTCCTCATCGCTGCTATAATTAGAACTCCAGGAAGATGTGCCGTCGGAATATACCTCCCCTGAGCTGAGGTATTACAAAAACAAAACCATTTAAATCCAATTACTTTCGGTATTATTTATGAAAGCCTAATAAACACAGCTAGGTATTGATGAACCTTGATGATAACAATGATGGTTGTGGTTCAAAAACTGCCACAAATGTGACATTTGGTCTTTGTTTTTTCAGCTCCTCGATAGGAAATCTACAACAAACAACAGTGTCACACACACACACACACACACACACACACACACATATATATATATATAATTTCAATTATGAAAACTTAGTTGACAAAAGAAACTTCAACAAATCAGTCAGTAACCTTGGTTCAGAAGTTCTACTGTCTCCATCACAAACTAAACCTTGGCGGTTTGATACGTCCTACAGGACAATAAAGGAGAATAGACTATTAAGATAACGAAAAGTTACTTGTGTCATACGAAAATTTATGTAAAACTAGCCAATTTCCTATAAGAACTTACAATAAGCCGAATGGATTTGAAGTCTCCAGCGAGTAAAGAATTCAAAAACAGCAAGACTTCTCTCTGAATTCCAATGTGCGGTCAAAACTCATGACTGTAACTTTAAGAATGGTGTACAAAACTAAATAAGTGTTTTACATCCTTTACCTCCTCTAGATTATAGCAGTTGCGCAATATTAGAGTCTCCAGTGGACTATCTTTGCAGCTAAGTCCCAAACCCCTACCACCAATATCTTAAGCCATAAACAATTTGTTACCAAAACCTTAATGAAATACCATCATTAACATTTTACTCAAAAGATAAGAACCTCAAAAAGCAACCACTAATTTCAAGCGATCTTGACAGATTGATGTACTTAAGTTGACGAAAACCCTGCAAAAACATCACAAATATTATTATTTCGGTTTGTAAAAACGTAATAGATGATATCAAATGAGAAGAGCAGAAATAACAACAAAACTAGAAAAACCATACCCTAACTAATTTTTGTGCTATGGTGTCATTTAGCAGAAAGCATAGGAGCGATAGCGAAATTAAGTTGGCGCAGTTATCCACAAACTTTAACAAGCTTGAATCTGTTATACGGCCTATATTCCCAGTCAGAAAGTAGGCAACTTTGAGACTCAAATGAAATGAAAAGAGAAACTCTTCATGGCAGAAATATTTACCTGCTGAAGAATATATTTCAATGAACAGGTGCTTTATCAAGCGACAGTTTCTCGTGAGTAACTCTAACTGCTCAAGTGGAACACTAAATAATGCAAAAGAAAATCAACAAAAATCGACCATAAGGAATTAGCAGAATCTAAAGTGAACAGTCAGTAAAGTAACACCAAGAAAAATAAATAATCAAAAGCATAGAAGATGGTGTCTCCAGGAAAAGTAAAGAAAAGCAACAATGAAATGGAGAATTCCTGAAGTTCAGGGGATTTAAACCAGCTTACAATCCAACAATCTTCAAATCAGTGAGATTTAAACAGGCTGACAACACAGTAGATAAGGACTCGACATCCATACTCCTGAGATAGTAAAGGTGTAGACTTCTCAAATGACCCCTAGTTGAATGGAAAAAGATAGTATCACTCAGAAGATGACATATATGTTAGTTAAACACCAATTATTTTATAAAACTGGTAAAAGCCATTTCTCTATATAGGTGTTTCAGACAGCCACAAATCACATTAATATAACAGGTTCGATACATAAACATTCACTTTTATGTATTAATTATAAGCATATACCCAGCAAAACCATGATTAAAAGTTAGCGGGGCAAGACAGGATCTTGTGAGTAAAGATATATATCCAGCTGAGGGAGAAATAGAACCAAGTTTGAGGGATCTGCAAGCATAAACGAAATCTGAGAGATGATTTCATAGATACATAGACCAAGCTCCACCACAAAATAAGTTACCCCAAAAAGAGGAAATTTCACCTGAGTTCTTTTCCTGCCCGATGGATCATTATACACACAACTCCATTATCAACATGTTTGGCAGCAGTTGTCAGATCGATGTGAGAGTAACATACACGATCCGTGGCACACTTGTTGAACATTGTGCAGCATGCAGAAGCTTGTATGAGAGACTTTGTATCAAGCATTGAAAAGACCTGGATATGCATTTGAAAACATATTATGTGAGAAATCACCACTCGAGAAAACACATTCCATGAACAAAGTATAATTTAATTTAAGCATTCTTAATTTCTAACATCCATTATGAGATCAGGCGGGGAAATACTGACCAAAAGACTCAATAATGATCCACTGTCTATAGATTCAACAAAGCGGTTAGAGAAATAGCGCAATACTTCCAGAAGTAGAAACATGATATGAGACAGTTGGAATTGTTACCTTAATGGTTAGTTCAGGGAGGAGAGGCCAAGATATAGAATTTTGGAGGGTGGCGCGTTTCCTGATACAGCGTTCAGTGGACTTGTAAAGAAGTGATGCGAGTTGGAGAGTATGATCCAGGAAACGATCCTGCTTGAATTCATCATGGGAAGTTCCAACTGCTGAGGGAATAACTTTATCAAGCACTCGGTCAAAAGAGCATCCCATAGAGAGTGGTGAGGAGAACAAAGGCAAGTCCGACAACGAAAGGAAAGAAGAGATAGTCATATCGATGTTGCTTTGGTTGAAACCAGGAGCAGTGGGGAGGGAACAAGGGAATTCTATGGAGGAGGTAACCGAAGGGGCATGGCAAGGTCTCTTGGAATTGGGAGGGTCCATGACATGGAATGTAGAAAAATAGTTTCTTAAAAGGAGTGAATGCAGGACGAAAATGTTCTATACAAAGGCTCAAAATTATGTCTGAGCTTTCATGTAAAACATGTCTCACTTTCACAACAAATTCTTCATCCCTGAAGCAAAATCTACAAACACCAAAATAATAAAATACATGTCACTATCACCATTCACACGAAAAGACTATTTTGTTTGCACAAAAGAGATGAAGCTCGAGAAGTGATCATTGATAATGGAATAAAGCCAAAGGAGATCTACTGGATATTTTTTTTTTTAAACTTCAGCTCAGTTACTGGTCACAAACTTTGAAAAGTCAGGATCTGATAAAGGGTTGGTCTTTAAAATGTCACATATTAGGATGCTTTCACAGTTAAGGATACTTACAAGTTACAAGTAAAGAATCTTCAGATCAGTGTAAGATATACAGACAAGCTGACCATTCGGGGTAGTTTCTCTCTCCACAGTAATCTGTAAAGGTGTTGACTTCTTACGAGATTCCTAGTTGAATGAAACAAAGAAAATTAAGATCAGATGAAAAGACACGTCCTCAAGCACACAAAAACAGTAACACCATTTACTAAGCATATTAGATTCAAAATTAAACAATAATAAGTTAGATAGGAAAGGTCACAGTAGAATTAGGTAAGTAAGTGTGTATGCATTAGCGGACACAGACAAGGAATTTGAAAACCAACAGGTATTAGATGTCGAAAACACACCAATCCCAACTGATCTTGCTGCATAAACGAATTCCTAAGAAGTGTCAAGAGAGTCCTAGTTCGAAGTAACCAAGAAACAATAGAAGCCACTAAAGTAATCAGTCAGACTTTTGTATCCCATTACTTGAAGTTTCTACTAGTAACCAAAATACAGCAATATTTTTAGAACATTACTTGCTACTTGCTAACATCTAGAAGAATTCGTAAATAATATGATGTAGGTAATACGTGCAGCTAACACAAGTGAAGTCCCAACTACACGAACTCTAGCTAAACCAAGTGCATTCCCAACTACAAACCCTATAACGCACAAGCTCAACACCAACCTCTTCTTTAGCAGACTTGTTTAGTCCATGCGGATTAGCATAAATAATATTCCTTACTTCCAACAAACACTTGAAAAGATCTGAAATCAAAGAATCAAATAAATTGTAAGACTTCAAACTTATCCTCCAAAAGAATGAACAAACCTCTTGAACAAAGTCACAATAGGTTGAAAAACGCACAGGACAAGGTGGAGAAATAGTGTTTCGTTTGTGGAAATCTCGATTTATGCATAGATCATGGTTACAAAATTAGCGAACAGTGAACAATTTTGAGACCTAAATAGCTTACAATCACGATGTCATCAGCCGAGATGGTAACTGTGAACGGGAACGCGATTCCACAGTACCGTTGGAAAAATAGACAAGACGCGAGCCGAATTAGTGAATACGATCAACCAATAAGGCGGTCCTGAGTTGAAATATCATCTCCGACGAGTGAGTCCGAAACGGAAGGGAACTCTCAGGTAACAAGGAAGATGTATGAGACTGACGTTGATTATAGCCACGGGAACGATCGAAAGTACGCTAAGGTTTTGGATCGGAGAGAAGAACACCGCATGGAAAACGAAGATGTTACTTAACTCCTCTTTTGTGGCCAACGTTCGAATCGGTAACGATGATCGGCGAATTTAAGATCCGAATCCCTTAAACCCGACCGTTTGAAATTGAATATTTGGGTTAATTAGTTCGGCCACAGTAATGATTTTAGGCCTACTTATCTTGTACTCAATCGGCCCATCTAAGCCCAATACTAAACTGCTGTCAATAATCCGGTTTTGTTTTGATTCGGTTTTCCAATACAGTAATTTCTTTCGAGTTCCATAAACTTTAGAATGAAGAACAAAAAGATAGAAAACAAGAAGAAATATTAAAACAAAGGTCGATTAAAAATTAACAATGAAACAGAGTCATCATCACAACATGCACAATAGTCTTAATTTTTTTTTTTAGAGTTTTGACAACTTACAAATCATAACTTTGTTTGCCAGTAAACTTAACTTCAATGGGACTAACGTTTTTACCAATAGATCTCATGTTCTGACCAACACCTTCTCTTCCAGGGTTGGCCTTCTCAGGGTAAACACCATCTTTAGGATGCAAATACTGAACCTCACCGTTGGGGAACACTCTGTAAAACTGGTAGTTAATCTTGTACTTGGATCTAAGCCTTGTCCCCAAAGCTAAACACTGTTCTTTCCTCGCTAGCTTCAGCAGATTCGGACCTTCCCTCATGATCGCTGCACCTCCTGTCGGCATCTCAAAGATCTGTTCTTTCGGTGAGTTCCATGTAATAACGTAGAACTCTTCCACCTGCGCTTTGCGTAGAAGACCACCGGTGCTTCCAGCGAAGATCGGAGACGGCGTGTTTGGGTCTAGCTGCGGTGGCGTGAATCCCACGGGAGCTTCTTTCACGGCGGGGGCTGCGGCGGATGAATCTGTCTTCTCGGCGCGGATCGAGGTTTTGGCCAAGGAGAGGGATCTGGGACGGTGGGTTGTTGGGAAAAAGTGGAGTTTCTTGACGCCGGAGGTAGCGGCGGTAGTGATGAAGATCCCGGCGGCTTGAGTTGCCATCTCTATTTTTTTTTTGTTGTGTCTTGTTTGTCTAATGAGCGAGCAGATTTGGTTAATAGTATATGTGTGATGAGAAAGAGAAAAGAGATAATATTGTGTGATGAGAAGCTAGAGTTCCTTGGATTAATGTGGATAAGGTAACCAATAGGATTCAACCATTAGATTTTTCTCTTACCCATGCTTATTCTCAGCCTATCCGACGTCGTTTTATTACCTCTAGTTTCTCTCTCTAATCCGACCCGACCCTTCATCCATCGACCATTTGGAAATAAGTTCATTTTGGAATATTGGATCATCTAAATCTGTTCGGCCCTGGACTTATATAATTTGGGTCTGAATTAACACAAAGTCTTACTACATAATATAGGTTTCAATTGGGTTATGTGAAATTTAGTTGGGCCATAATCTTACCACGTAAATTGGGCCAATCATCATCCAAACTGTAGTTGAACACCTAAATTCTTTACTTGCTCTCTCATCTCGTTATGTGTTTTGGTGTCATTTCGTTAGCGGTTAGACTCGTCTCAGATGGTACCATGGCATGCAAAGATGGACGAATTAATTTCTCTAGGTTTTCCAATTTTATGTACTATTGCATACTTATAACATTTTTGTAAGAACTGTTCAACCTTGTTGACTATAGAAGAAGTGGAGATGGATATATATATATATATATATATATATATATATATATATATATATATATTGAGATTGAGTTGTTTATAATGTTTTTATAAAATCCACTATGAATATGTTTTTCTATTTTATAGAGGTTGACAAAAAAAAAAAAAACATGATCATAATGATCGTAAAGCGTTTGTTGGACGGATTTTCTCAAAACACTAACTTTCAATATCGCTTAATTCGATTTTCGTCTTGCAGCCTCGAATTAAACTGGCACCATTATCATATTTGCAACCTCTGCAAACACTCTTTTACACAAATAGTTACTCATTAGTTCCCAAATATTCGTTAATAAAGAAGGTTTAAGGGTTTAAAGTAAGTATGTGTATGGCAAAATCACATTATTGTTGCATATATCATGGGTGCAGAGGACGAGCATATATATAATACTCTACAGTCTACATGATGAAGATTAATAAAACATTGTTTGGTCAGGGAAAAAACATGTTAACTGTGAAATGTGTCTTAAAACCTTTCTGATTCCACATGCAGTATTCTTACTTACAAGAAATAAAAAATTCAAAAACTTGTTTTTATTCTAGTTAGTTTCATAAATCCACCCAATACAAAACATTTTCACGGTGGTGACACAGAAAAAAAAACAAAAGCATTATCAATAAAAGCGAATTAGAAAGAAAGATTTGTTGAGATAAAGTCCAAAAACTATTGCTCAAAAAGAAAAAGAAAAACAAATCCAAAAACTATATATATATATATATATATAGTTTTTGAAATGTAAAATTTATGTGTGTACATGTCTCTCCATTTATGTATTGGCCCATACTTTTGCTATTTTTGACCATCAACTCCCAAATTGCTTTACACTCTTTTGCCTATTACCTAACTTCTTTAGTTTTTTCCCTTAGGGTCCCAATTCAAACCAAACATGTCAATCGCACTCTGTCGAGTAATTCGGTTTGGGATTTTGGATATGATTATTACTTTATCCATTATCAAAAAAATGTTCAAGAAAAAACCTAAAATATAGGTTGAGGGCAAGAAGTGTTCAATTCAAAATAATTTTTACTAAATTTAAAACTTGCGTTAATTTGATATTTTTTAGCTTGGTTATAATAAGAAGAAGATATATAAGAGAAACTTATATAGAACTGGATAAATAAGAAGTCATGCATAAATATTTTGGTTTTGTTTTGTTTCATATATAGTTTTATAAAGGCATTATTACTTGAGTCCAACATCAAGACTCGCATTCGTGACTTTAAAGCTCAATCTTTACTTCTTTAGATAGTCTTTCCCAAAAATTATCAGTCCCCTCCTTAAAGCTAATAACTTATGATATATGCTTTCATCGTCAACATATATGTTTTTTTTTTTAATTTTAGCCCAACGAGAGAATCTAGATAGATATGATAGTGTCTTAATAAGTTTGAGTGTTTGATGTCCAAAGAAAAGAGAACAAAACCTAGTCATGATCAAGATCATGTGTTCTAAAGTGGAGCTTGTCCCTGCCACACTTAAAATTCCTTTTCAAAGGCATGCAAGCCAAGACAAACGATAAAAAAACACAAGAAAAAAGAAAACTAAATTTTAAATCTCTAGGAAAGTGAGAGGTCTTTTTGACATGACAAGTGCTTGAGTCTTTGGCTCTTTTATTAACAAACCCCACTATAAATCACTTCCTATGTTATTTCTATTGGAATACAAACCAATATCGCACATCGAAAGATTAAAAAAAAAAGTTTCTAATATATAAGTCAAGTCCCACTACAATTAGTATGAGGCCTTTTGGGAAGTAGCCCAACAAAACCGTGCGGACTTGAGTTATAAGCCCAAAGCGGAGAATATCATACTAATGAAAAGTTGGCTTGGTTTAGAGATCTCAACAATTGATATCAGAGCCTAGGTCAAGATTGTGGACCTAGGAGAATAGATATTGGTTTAAGGGGGAGTATTGGAATACAAACCAATATCCCACATCGGAAGATTAGAAAGAGAAGTTTCTAATATATAAGTCAAGTCCCACTCTAATTAGTATGAGGCCTTTTGGGAAGGAGCCCAACAAAACCGTGCGGGCTTGAGTTATAAGCCCAAAGCGGACAATATCATACTAATGGAAAGTTGGCTTGGTTTAGAGATCTCAACAATTTCTTCACCAAATTACATTTAGATTGTACTTAACATGTATATATATATATCAATGGTGCATTTTTAAAAAATCTTACTTGAGACTTGCAAAAATTTGGACCAACTGTAAACAGAAATATATATAAAGTATCAAGAAAAATCAAGATAAAATATAAAAATTAGGTTGGGCTATTCTTTCACATATATAAAAAATTGGAGGCAAATAGCTACTCCAAGGTTTCATTTGTACAATATGATTTAATTTTCTTTTGCTACTTCTCTACATGAATATAATTCATTATTCATATGCATCTATATATGAATACACTGATCCACTGATTAATAAATTAGTGGATAGATGATGATGATGATGAGGGTTACAAGACCTTTTGAAACAAGACTTTGGAGATGTGAGTTTTGAGATGATCGGCACATGAAGCAAAGTAGTAAAAAGCTTTTGCTACATCAAGAAACGTGATGCCGACGTCACGCAATGTGTCACTCTCCGACAATGCTAACTCAACCATTTGCTCCATCTCCTTCTCCATACTCTTTATTGTCTTCTCCTTCTCATCGTTTCTCCTTGCCTGCATTGAGAAAATTTATTAATAATTGATTAGACTCGAACCGATAACATCGAACAGATCAATTATAACCAGTTACATGGAGATGATCAATCGCTTTCAATCGATTATTTTTGTTGGCCCTGTCCATTATATTCTTTAAGTTAAGAAGTTCATATATATTAATATAACCAATAAAACTAACCTTTAAGTATTGAAGAGGAAGACATATTCGGTTGATGATTCCAGCGAGACGAATGAAGTGAGGATGAGAGAAGAAGTGAGTTAGGTCATTGCTCTTCATTAGAATTATCATCTTCACCATGAGCTCTCCTACGTCTCCTTCATCTCCATATAATTCCCATTTCTCTAACCACTCTCCCCACTATATATATATATATATATATTAGATGACAAATCATATATATAAACTGAAAATGAATATAAATTTATTTGTAATTAGAATAATACACTAACCTAACTAAAAACATATATGAGAGGAAATAAAAAAGAAGGACGTACCGATTGATAGAGGAGATTGTTAACGTCACGGCCATGAGACATGAAGAGATCAAAAGACATTTGACTCAAAGTCCCGATTAAGATTCCGACGACAAGCCGACTCGCCTTCACCGATCCTGGTCGGTCCAATCTCATGCTCCTGATATTTTTGTTCATCCCATTTAGAATATAAGACAAATCACTCAATCAGCTGTTTCTACCAGAGCTTTCTTTCTTCTCTAATTCAACTTACCTTCCAATTTTACATTTCTTTTTTATTTTCTAAATGAAAGAAATGATTATATTTTACACACATATAAATCTCAATTTTACTTTTGGTATTGGAACTTTAAAATCTTACAGTATCAGCCTCCAGATGTTTTTTGTTTTGTTGTTACACACACGTCACCTATTTTGATCCTTATCGAATGATAAGAATTGATATCTCTAGACTCTAATCTTAACCAATAAAAAAATAAATATATATACTCTATTAGAGTTTATATCTGTTTGACAGAAAATGCCATTTTATATTGTCTGCTCATCACCACTGCGATGAAACTGACAGTTTTATTTCTTCTAAATTAGGTCAAATGAACTTATCTTTTTTTATTTTCTTGTTTCAATTAACTAATTAGCCATTTTTTGTTTGCTCCATATAATATATAGCTTGTTTTTTTCTGCCGCAAAACAAACAGTACCCTAACGAATAGGGTTAAAACGTAAAACCACTAGAGTTACAAAAAAATTGATTGCAACACCTGTTCAGTGGTTTATATGTGTGTGTGATAATCGTATAACTAAGCTATATTAAAAAAATATTTAGTAAGTAATTAGAAAGAGAAGATTTATGTAATTTTACGTACCTGTCATTGAAGTGATGATCACTTCGTCGAGCATGGGCAATATATTCATGGAACTGATCGGAGAAGCCTCTTCTTGAGTCAGAGGATTTACCAAAAGAATAAGAAATGGCTTTAACCAATACACTTGACTTAGCCCAAATCATTCTCTCATGTGACCTTTCTGATTCAAAGATTGTTGCAGCCGCTAAGTAGTAACACTCGAGAAGCTCACTTCCGCCCACCCCACACTCATTTAACCTATTGTCTTCGTACCACCTGCATACATACAAAAGTTACACTATATTTTATTATAAAGATAATAATATAAATGTAAGGTTCATATTCAGGGAACGTTTACGTTTTTTCAGCCCCTAATAAA